GATCATTTTAATTTATATAAGAGGAATACGTGCCAAGGGTTAGCACTTTGACGATATGTACCATGTGTAAACCTTGCATGATAATACTTGGTAGAGTTAGCATGTAGATTTAGTAATAAACTCCTATTAGAGTAATCACTTTAATGCTCTAGGGAGTAGGATCTACAACTATGGACCATTCACTACCGAGGGCTCTTAGAAAGCTTACTTTGTAATACAAGTGTTGGATTCATGTCAAGGAAATAGGAAATCGAATAGCCTTACATACCTTGCTATACAATTCAATTTTTTTTACTTAAGCTCCTACCGTTCAAATTAATGATCTACAATAAAATAAGTTACAAGACTAGTATTAGTAGCTCATCAATTAATTTGAGCTATTTGATCTCACCAAAATAGTAACCAAGCAGTAAGCATGCAACTTATCTAGCCAATGTTTTCATTCCTTCCCTTTCCCTTTAATCACATCTGTATACTGTACAACCTTCGTATCAGGTCCTCCCCAAAACTCCTTGCAATATTTAAGTCCTTTAAGGTCTCCATAACTTCCCGGCACATCCAGTCACATCCCTTATCATATAATACATAAAATAATCCTTAAACATAATAATGTAACAAAATAAATATGAATTATGGTTTCTAATCACCAGCACTTGAAGAGCTAACATTACTTTTAAAGTGCTCAAACAAGCTCATAACTGAATTTAAAGAGGACTCCCCTCCATGGTTGTCCCAACGTGCACTAATCACCGTAACATCCTCCCCAATATTACACCATGTAAAAGGAACAATTTCCAACTCACTAACACATACCAAGTGTCCTAATTAACTCAAGCACAAGAGAGAGAATATTGCAATAGCTTACCTTGCTGGACAAAATTACCACTTTCTAAGACTTGGATTCTTCAAGGTAAAGGTTGTCCTCCTTATCTTGTCTTAAATTATACCTTCCAATAGCTTGAACTCCCTAATATTCAAGAACCCTAATAGTATTTATTGGCTGTTGTATGAAGCTAAGAGGGAGGAGAGAGAAAGCTCTAGAAATCTGATTTTTTTGTCAAAGTAAGAATGGTTGGAAAAAGCTGATATCAATCCCTTTTAAAGTTACCTGCTTTGGCCGACTTTCTCACTCATTTTGGGACATAATTTGTCAAATAGGTGATCCACCTACTTGGACTTTTCACTTGGGCCTTTTTGGACTTAAGAACATTGGACCTGGCTATCCATATTTTTAGTAGGTGATGCACCTACTTGGTCCTTTGGGCTGGTCAATAAGTCAAAGTAGGTGATGCACCTACTTGTCACCTACTAGCTTAGTGTAGTTATTAAGCAGGCACCTCAATATTTTATTCCATTTCTAGACTTTAATACCTTTAACCTTACTTAAAACTTATATACACTATGTCACTTTAAACTTTAGACACAAATACCACCTAATGATCTCATGTGTATCTACTTCAATCGACGTCAACTTAATCGGGTCACATCAAAATCTACTGACAGATCGCTTTAAACCTATTCTATTGTCACTAGTTGTATAGGAAACAGAGTCCATAACTATACCACAAGGTAAATTATAAGCGTCATGTAAATAGAACTAGAACACGTAGTATATGGGGTGTTACATCCTCCCCCCTTGTGATCATTCGTCCTTGAATGATAGGTGCACCTGATAGTTCGATTAATCTTGAAATTTCATATAGAGATTTGCGAGAGTTCCCATTGTAAATAGGACCATCCAAAATCCATAGACTAACCTAAAACACGTATAGAAAAGTCTAGCATGACGTCTCAATAGTAGTTCATAAAATAATAATACGACAAATTAAACTTTCTTGACCATGTAATTCACTGAAGATACACAAGTAGAACTCATATAAATAAGGACTTTAATATACCTAAACACATGACATGAAAATGACATATCAAATTAACAAATGCTAGTAGGATTTATGATCATATTAGGGGACCATATGATCTCAGATCCTTATGTTAATGTTTAGAATGAGGAGGGGTATTTAGGATCTTTACCATCTTCTATTACCAAGTATCTTATGTTATATTATAATCCTTCCACAATACTTCAATGAAGGTTACACCATTTGAGCTTAGCTTCCGGGTCTTAACAATCAAGAATAACTATAGTATCTCCCAAATTTTTTGTATATGGAACGGACACATAAAATCATAGGCCTAACCTATCGAGGCTCTACTTCCCTTCTCTTTTCTCTCATGACGCTTTCCCGAGGTGAGTCTTCTAAGAACGCATAGCTGTTAATATAAACTCTAAAGTTTTATGCCACACCTTCGAATAAGGCATTATGCTAAGTTATTTATCTATGGTTGTGACAAAATTTACATATATACCCAACCTTTTCTGGTCAAAATCATCACTACATCATGATACAAGGAAATATTTCACCAAAATTTTCAAAACTCAAGTCAATAAGCATAGAGTGACATAGAATACAGATAAATAAGTCACACTGAGCATAACACATAGGTAGACTAGCACAAAAGGGAGCGCATAATATACGAGCATTAAGTTATAGAAATATGTGGTGTACGCTCGCATATAAACTATAGGGTAGTGTGTGAGCGAATGAGCTATAAGGAATGTATGTAGGTAATGGAGTACATGAGCACATGATGCATGAGTTCTAAAGATACAAAATATATAATATGCAAGCAAGTAGACTATAAGACATGTAGACATAAAAGAATATGAACTACGGAACACAAATCACACTGAGAAAGCATGTTATATCGTCTGGATAGCTGGACTAACATGTCAATGAGTACATATATGAAATATGAGCAAGTGAGCACGTGAGACATGGCCAGAAAACCTATAAGGCCTGTAATGTTTAAGCAAGTAGGCTACGAGGGATGCAAAATATATAGAAATGGTCATCTGATCAATTAGCCTGCAGTACCGCAAAATATGGACCAGTGACATGAGAAAAGTAACCAGTGTAATAAATAACATATAGGGAAAAGGTCCTACAAAAACATATAGCAATAAACAAGGGTGCTCCGAAGCATATAACACTTACATGCAAGCATTCTATGACATTAGGTAACCTTTGAGAAGGTAATCCACAAAGGGAAAATGACATACAAATAGATAAGTTATAGAACATGCAGCATGTATAATTATATAACAAACCATCTTTGGAAACTACGAGATATCCTATAGAACCACTCTACCATAATAAGGGCAAACACACTGTCCTAAGCATTAAGTCACGGGTGCAATAGTTTTGCTTGCGTTCCTTATTCACCTCAAAGCACATAAAATTCATTTCCCCATCTACTCTCTTCAATCTCCTAAGAATTCTTATAGGTGTTCAGCTATTGGGACTTGGCTTCCATCTGGGTCAATATAAATACTTCAGTTAAGATAGAAAGAGAAAATCCTCAGTAGTTCGTATTTTAGAGTAGGAGGTCGAGGTCAACTTTGCCTTCATTAATATCTTGTGTTATATCACACTCTATGCATGGTGCCCTTTGAAGGTCGAAATAGAAAATAAATAGTGACGCTTGAGCGCACCATAAAACATGAACTCGAATAACATGTGAATGCCAGGTACCTATAAAGTTATATCATTATACATAATGGCTTAGAGTTAGCTGCTTTGGCTTAACAAGTTAGGTTTGGCCATACTAATAGATTTGCTTTTTTCATAACAAGTGAGCGTGCTCTGACTCTTTTCCCATGCAATATAGCAAATAAGAACAACTAGCATATGATCAATTTATTTTCTTCCTTAACTGGGCTATGACTGACGAATTACTGTAGGCATATATTAAATAAACCTTGTAGTAGCTCTATTCAATTTGATGGAGGTTTATACATGTGTATAATGCTACTTCTATTTTGTACTAATGATGTGGATGACTAGGCGCATGTATCTTCTATCTAGTCAACCTTTCTATTCACCTCTTTTTTTCTTGTTGTTATCTGATGTTTGCGTAATAAAGACACAACTTTCGATGCAAGTGTCTATGATCGTACAATAGTTTAGTAACCCCACCAAGGGTTGGGATCGTCCCAAGAGCGTGGTTTTGAAAATTTATAGAAAAATAAAATTTCGTTCTAACTAGTCATAGCTAAAGACATTAATGAGTAAAATCATTGTAAATTAGAGGGGGACACAATAGTGTCAATTAACAATGAGTGAATTTTGTCACAAGTAAGGTAAAAACAACAAAATCAACATGGGTTTCTAAGTAATGAGAGGGGATCCTTGGGATGTTACGAGAATATGGGTTAAGCTAGATTATTCGGTACATACTTTCAATAGAAGATTCATAGAGTAATTGTGACTAGGCTAAGCTTTAAGGGGGATAAGCTCTCTCGACCAACTTACCACGTTTCAAATGCGTTCCTCTCAGACACCCACTTGCCGCATGAAGACCAGCTTACGCCTTAACCCACTCACTCTCTCGAGCTGAGTGTGTGGACATGGGACTAAGGTTCACTCTCTCGAGCTGAACCTCATGTCGACCCACTCACATTGGCCACTAATCTAGTGGTCTTAGTTACACGACCTCTCTCTCGAGCAAGCGAAAAACAAATAAATAAACTTGTATTTGCAAATACAAATTCATTAAATTCATTCACGACCACTAAATGAAATCACAATTAAACTATGATTAAACTATCAGCAAGCAAGACCCAACAATTATCTTAACCCACATTCGCTAAATCTTTTTTTTTTTTAATTCAAATTCGGACACTAAGTCCATATTTTAGATTATTCAAAAAGGGCTATATACAATGAAAATTCCTAGTCGGCCCAAAAGTGACCAACTAGGAGAATAAACCAATTTCCTATTCTTAAGGGTTTCCTAAAAGGAATTTCAGCTCCTCCTCTCTCTTCTTCCTTCCGCCTCTCTTGCTCTTGGCTCTGTTAATGTTCTTCCTTGCCTCTTTGAGCTGTTGCTTCATGTTTCTTCTACTATGAGTGATAAATATACTCCGTCCATTTCGTATGCTATGTGGTAACCAGCTCGAAAAGGTAATGCACCCATTTTTGTTTCAATGTCATTTCTCTTTTTCCCATTTGATTCCGTTCTCCTTGCAGGTGTACTGTCCGGATAGGAATCTGGAGTTCAAGCTGAAATTTATAGAGAGTATGTGCCTTGCTTCCCAATTTGTCAAATCCATGTAAGTCTTGATTTAGTTCCCCAGTTCTGTCCTCCTTTCCACTCCTTCTGTTCCATTTTTTCATGTAGCTGAAGCCGTATAGGAGAAGATGCTCCCGAGCTTCAATGGTACGATCTCCTTGACGGATGCTCACTCCCACTTCAGATTTGGCTTCCTTACTCTCAACTTTCCTGTCATCGATCCATTTTGCCTTATATATATCATGGTTGTGGAACCATGTAATGTCGAATCTGCATCTAATCATGTTGTCCATTGTAGTTAGTGTTGCTAATTCTCCTTGTCTTGATTCTAAATGAAGGGACCTGTAGTTTATCAATATTTAAAAGCTTTCTTCCTCTACTTGGTAATTGTTGAAAGTTAAGGAATATTTGCTTTCCTTCTGTATTGATTGCTGAGTTTGCTATAAAATCTGCTAACTGGGTTGCTTTTTCTCTGAAAATATGTTGTACATTAACAGTGATTTTTCCAAGCATGTCATGTATGTCGTCCATTATTTCTGCTAGCTCCCACGGTATCCTCCAATTTCTGTAGATCATATTTTTTAGTACTAGAGAATCCGTCTCCAACTGAATATTGTTTAGCTGACTTCTAATACAATACTGTAATGCTTCCCACAATGCCTTTGCCTCTGCTTCCATGTTAGTAGTTATCCCCAAATTCTGGGCCTCTGCATATATGAGGTCTCCTTTGCTATCCCTTAGACAAAAACCATAAGTACTTTGGCCTGGATTCCCTTTACTTGCTCCATCAGTGTTGCAAGTAATCCATCCATCTCTAGGCTGCAACTATCTAACAAACTTATACTGTATTGTGGGTTTATACCTCAGCAGAGTCTCCACCATTTCTGTCCACTTGTGTGATATTCCTTTAATCCATGGAAATTTGGTCCTTATTAATTGATGTACAGTCAACTGGCATTGATAATACATACAATTATAAGATATCTTTTTCCCATGTCTTACTGCATTTCTCCTTTTCCACAACTCCCACATGATGATAGCTGGAATGGCCTTTAGTATTTGATCCAGCTTATTTGACATTTTGAGCTCCCACCACCTATAAATGAGTTGCTTTAGAGTCAATCCATTTATATTGATACCTACACATGAAGAAAACTGCTTCCATAGCTTTTGGGCTATGGTAGCTGTTAGTAATAAATGAGACATAGTCTCCATTTCCCCTCTTTCACAGCAGTAACATTTAGACACCACTTGCATCCTCATTCTCTTTAGATTATCATCAGTGGCTATTCTTTTTCCCCAAACTCTCCATAAAAAGAAACTAATCTTGTATGGTAGCCCATTTACCCACATGTAATTACTCCACTCATTTTCTGCCTTCTTCCCTCTCAAATTGTGAAAAGCTGATTTCACAGTGAACTCTCCTTTCATACTTTGAGTCCACCAGGCCTTGTCAGTTATAGCTTCACTAATGGGAGGTCTAATGTTCTTTGTTATATGCAGCACCATCTCTTCAGATATGACTTCTTTCAACTTGTGTTCATTCCATACCCCATTTGTTGTAAAATCTTTGACTTCTATTTTCTCATCTTGTGCCATATTTCCTTCAGTGTAGTACAAGGCCCCTTTTCTGGTCCAATTATCAAACCAGAAACTTGAATTTCCAGCTTTTATTTGCCACCAAATGTCATGCTCCACCTTTTCTCTAATGGTGACCATTTTCCTCCATATGTGTGAGGCACCCGTACTATTCACCATGATTGGATGCAATTTCTTGCAATATTTATTCCACAAATAACCAGCCCATAGCGAGTTGGTGGACACTGTGAAGTTCCACCATAACTTAGCAAATAAAGCTTTATTGATGTCATGAAGTGATCTAAATCCAATACCTCCTTCCTCCTTTGGGAAACAAAGCTCCCTCCAGGCCACCCAATGCTTTCCCTTTACCCCTCCCGACTTTCCCCAAAAGAATTTGGCAAAAATTTGATGTATTTGTTCCATTACTCTCTTTGGGGGATTCATAGCAGACAACATATAAATTGGTAAAGACTGAAGGACAGAATTCACAAGAATTTGTTTACCACCAAAGGACAAGAATCTGTTATGCCAAGCAAAGATCCTTTTGGCTATTTTCCTAATAAGCTCCTCATAATAACAAGAGTTATTTCTCCATAGAAAACTGGAAATCCCAAATATATGAAAGGGAAATTACCCTGCCGAATCCCTGTGAGTCTTCTCATTCTAATAGCTACAATCAAAGGTGTTTTATCATGTAAATAGAAAAACCTCTTTGATTTGTTAATCATTTGTCCTGATATTGCTTCATAATCCTTCAGAATCTTCATCATCTTTATCACTGAAACTCTATCTCCAGAACAGAATAAAATTGTGTCATCTGCATATGACAAATGATTGATTTCTGGACTCCACTTAGGCATTCCATATCCTTTAAAATTATCATCCTTATGCAGGCTATTCAGGGCCCTGGCTAGAACTTCTGCAGCTATAATAAAGAGGGTTGGGGATAAAGGATCACCCTATTTTAAACCTCTGGTCGAATGAAAAAATCCATGAGTCCTACCATTAATTAGTATTGAGTACCAATTATTGGATATAATCCTCCAAACCATATCAATCATAATTTCTGAGAAACCAAATTTCCGTAATACCTTAGTGAGAAAAATCCATGAAACCCTATCGTATGCCTTGGCCATATCCAGCTTAACCACCACGTTAACATTTTTGGCTCTTCTATTTATATCCCTGATTATCTCCTGTGCCAGCAGAACATTTTCTGTAATACTTCTTCCCCTTACAAAACCTGACTGAGTAGGGGAAATAAGTTTAGGCAAAACCATTACCATTCTCTCATGAATCAACCTGGAAAGAATTTTGTTCATAAAAGTACTAAGACTTATGGGTCTTAGATCAGAAAAATGCTTCACTGTCTCCTTCTTAGGCAACAACACCAAATTTGTGTGTGTAATGAATCTTGTCAACTCTTGTCCGCAGAAAAATGCTTTCACCATTTTAGTACTGTCCTCCCCTATTATCTCCCAACAATCTTGATAAAAATGCCCTGTGAATCCATCCGGACCGCATGCACTACTACCCTTCAACTTAAACACCACCTTTTTAACCTCTTCATTCGTAGGCAGACTACACATGGCATCATTTTCCTCATTTGTAATACATCTTGGAATATGATCTAACATTGCATAGTCATCCACATAATCATTTTCTTGAAATTGCTCCCCAAAAAATTCCAATGCTGCTTGCCCAATTTGATCATTGGATGTTAATGTAATTCCATGCTCTGTTACAATTTCAGCAATATGTAACCTCTTCCTTCTCCCCTTCACATAAGAATGGAAGAACTTCGTGTTCATATCACCTTCTGTAAACCATTTCATACCCGCCTTTTGCCTCCAGAATTCCTCTTCAAGCCTTAAGAATTTCTTCAGTTCCGTCTCCACTTTATTCAGATCTGCTCTATTGCTTGCAGAAGGTTGTATCTCCAATTGATCCTCCTTAACTTTAATGACATCCTCCATGGTGGCAATTTGTTGAAATATATTACCAAAAGCTTCTTTACTCCATCCAGTCAGCGCCTTTTTGACCTTTTTCATCTTTGCATGAAATTCTATAAAAGGATTCCCAGCAAACTCCACTATCCAATTCTCTGCCACAATCTTTTTAAAATTTTTGTGTTTTCTCCAAAAATTGAGGAAACGAAAAGGCTTGACCATGATTTCCTCAGCTGATTTGCATATCAAATGTAGGGGTGCATGGTCAGATCCTTGTCGAATCAAGTGATGCACCTCTGAAGATGGAAACTCCTCCAAAAAATCTTGATTAACCAAGATCCTGTCAAGTCTTTTAAAAATACACTCCACTTCAATCCTCCCATTCCACCAAGTGTATTTGCTTCCTATAGTTTGTACTTCTGTCAAAGCACATGAACTGATGAATGATGCAAAATCAATGGCCTCATTCTGGGTAAAAGGCAGTCCTCCCAATTTCTCCTCCTCATTCAAAATAACATTGAAATCACCCCCAATAACCCAAGGAAAAAGTTCCCTATTAACAATACCCTCCAGCTCATCCCAAAGTTCCAGTCTTTCCATTGTATTGCATCTAGCATATACTACTGAAATAATGTAATGCCTGTTGTTTATTCTGAATTTTATGGTAACTTGTTGCACAGTATCCAGAATGATGTTTCCTTCCCACTCCGCCCTCCAGAAATACCAATTTTTTCTGGAACAATTTACTCCAGCATTATCAAAACCCAGCTTTCTCTTATATTGATCTATCTCTGATGGATCTTGAAAAGGTTCCATCAAAGCAATGAATGCATAATGATTTCTTTTATTTAGATCCATTAATCTCTCAAAAGATTTTTGAGTATTAACCGACCTAATATTCCAAAAGATAATTTTTTCAATCATTGATAACTGATAGATGCCTTCTCCCTGCTAGTCCTTGTTTTAACCTGTAAATGTATTGTTTGTTTGCCTTTCCTTGCCCCATTTTTCAAACTATTAGTATGCCTTGGTGATAAATCGCCAGCTTTACTAATTTGTTGAATGTTATACTCCAAATCTTCATCCTCCTCCATTTCTTTTCTATGTTGCAGGTGTTCCTCCTCATCCTCAATTAAATCTGGTCCGTTTCTTGCATCCTTATCTCCTTCCCCTTTGCTGTTTTTCCCCATAGATAAATTACTTGCCTCAAATAGTTGTCCTGTAGTATTATCATTCTGATTTTCCCCCCTTTCGATATTATGTCCTCCAATGTTGTGAGGAGCCGCAATACCCCCCAAGACTTCCTTCCCTGGTGTTTTATCTTCTTCGTGACTATCACCTCTGAATGTTGTAGTGTTTACATTTTCTCTGTTTGAAGTGCTGCTCACCTCCAACAAATTATCCCCTGTTAACCTCCCATGCAGCTTATGTATTTTCTCCATGTTATCACTCATACGTGCCCCAAGAGAGTCTGCTCTTGTCTCCTCCATGTGTTGACTGTCCTCCTCAAGAAGCTTATTTTTATCTTGATCCTCTTGGGCTAACATGTTGAATTTATTTCCAGTTATTATGCCTACCCTGCTCCACACCTTTTCTTGTTGTTTATTTCTTCCTCCTCCCCATTTTTTGTGTCTTTGCTCCATAAATTCACCGTCATTCTTATCTCTTTGTAGGTCTGCATTCATATCAGATGCTTCACCCTTCCTGCCTTCATTATTCTTTTTTATTTCCTCCTGTCTCTGCCCTGCATTCTGTCCTATCTTTTCTTTTGGATATAGCTCTGGATGTACCACGTAGCACTGTTCTTCATTATGTCCTTGGATCATGCATGTTTGACAATATTTTGGAACATAGTCATATTTTATTTTGATCCATTTCTCCATTACTTCTCCACTTTGTTGTCTCATTCCTATCTTGATGCGTTTTGGGAATTCTCTCATCAGATCTACCTCTACCTTCACTCTAGCACAACTTGGTCTAGTCTGATTTCGTGTTGCCATGTCCACCTGTAGTGGTTTCCCTACAGCAGCAGCTAGGGAAAAAATTGCTTCCTATCCAAAGAAATTTGGGGGAAGAGACGGAAAAGAGATCCACGCAATAGCCGTCGTTGTTTCCTCCTCTGGATTAAACATGGGATCCCATTTAAGGGTTCGCATTGGGAATGACCAGTTTTTGTGACTGATGTAAAAAGCTGGTTTCGAAAGCAGGTGAACATAGTCTTCTAATAAAGTAGCCCTTATTAACACATGTCTATTACTCAGTAAACCAATGTTGCAATCGCCCTTCAATTCACATTGTTTAGGAATTAATCTACGCAATTCCTGAATGTCGGGCCAGCCATAAGAGAACTTACCTATGACTGCATATTCCAAATTCTCATTGACAATCATCTGAGTCACTTCTTCATAATCCCATATTACTTGTGGTTCTCCATGTAAAAAGGTTAGTGGTTTCAAAGGTAAAGCCTTGGCCATAGCGGCCATCGGAACGTCGGCAAACTAGGTTATAGGCGGTTGGATTTGTGGTCAGCGGCGGCTAAGTTTGATTTTAGATACTGAGATTATATTAACTAGTACCACATTCGCTAAATCACACCCAAGAATTGGGGTTTTTAGCCACACATCAAGAGATAGAAATTTATACCTAAATGAGCTTGCATTCAAATGGGTATGAAGATTTAAGTCTTGTTACAAAGCAAGAATGAAGAATCCAAGAGACCCAAGTCCAAATCCTTGGAGATGAAACCCTCTTTTGAAACTTCAAGTCTTCAAAACACTCTCAAACTTAGAGAAAAATATCAAAAAGTACTATTTTATATGTAAATTATAATAATTGTTCGACTCTTAAAACTATAACTCTAACTAGTATTTATAGTTTTCACAGATTTATGTTGCAGTGGATCATTCGGCGTTGTTAGTCAAAATCACCGATCAACTCGGCGATTCACCTTTTGGTGTAGTTCATCGTCGACTTGCACATCCTTCTGCATCTTCGTGCTCTGGGTCATTGGGTGACATGGTACTGTTTCACGGAACTTCTCGGTGATACGCCGACCGCACCTTTTCGCTAACGATTTGCTCATTTCCTTCAGGGCACAACACATTGGAATAAAAGGCGAATATGTAATCTATTGGCGATTCTCCGAATGGGTTAGGCGATATGCAGATCTTCATTTCTTCGTTCTTTTAGCTTCTTTTGCTCCTTTTTCCTCGATAGTGTCCATGTTTTCCCTCAAACTTCAAATACCTGAAACTTAAAGGCTTTCATCAGATATTGAGATAAAACATGCATTTGAGTACACTAATTTCATAAAAATATAGCCCTAAATGAGTCCAAATCGTGGACTCATCAACACCCCCAGCTTAAAGTTTTGCTTGTTCTCAAACAAACTCAAGTTCAGCCGTTCAAAAAGGGTGTCTTGAACAGTGCTACACAAGACTCGATCATGAATGCACACAACAAGACTCAATTTAGTAATTCAAAGATCAATTGTATACTTCAAGGATTCAGGTAGCGACTCATCAATATCAAAGAATCTCATGCTCACAATACTTGCCTCAAATGCAAGTTCAAGCTCAACGAAAGTGTTCGACTGCCCTCACAAAAAGAATGATCCCATATTCCCACATCATTGTTTACTCATTTAAAGTTCCGCAATCAATTTCAACGCTAACTCTCTCAAAGACGAAAACAATGCATGCTTTCATCCATAGGTTCACCCGTATTTTCCAATCGATATTTGTTTCAGCTTGCTCAAGATCAAAATGGTATTTTATGACTTGTAATGGGGCTGAGTGCAAAGGTATGGTCATTAAGGCTTAGTGGCTTTCATCCTCATGAGATGTGGTATTCACAACACTCCCCTTCCTTTTCCTTCATCATTTTTGCTAGTACTCTTATGTCATCCCATTATTCACTTCCCATGGATTGTTTGGAATCCCCATTTCTTTGGAACTTTATTCCATAAATTTCTTTTTCATTCTTTTTCTCTTCTTTTTATTCTCTCTTTATTTTATATGGAGAGGTTCAATTTTTCTCAACACCACAGGTTAAGGGAGACTTTTCTTGCACTTCTTGACTTTCCCTTCTCTTTTCACCCTACCCCCAACTTAGGCCATGTAGCCTAAGTTGGCTATTCAATTAACCAGAACTCAAGAGTATTATAGGTAGTGGATTAAGAAAGGTTTAGTGTTCATCAATTTTTTTCCAAAGAAAGGTCAGGCTAAATGGGTGTTCAACAGAGGTTCACACATGCTCACAAGGTAGGCCAAAAAGAGGTATATGCCAAATTGGTTCACACTCTTTAAATCTCCTAAGATCACATCAAGAGCTATTCTTACTTAGTCGATCGAACCAACGGGCCAAATTCTAAGATCTATCATGCATGTTTCCAAGTAAGCTCATCACACTTGGCATCGACACTATAGTCAAACAAGACTCCACACATCTGCTAGTGTGTAAAAGTCATTAAAAGAGACTCGATTCTATACTAGGCTAGTCAAAACGAGATGCAAAGAGTTCACATATTGTCTATACAACTTCATTTGGCCTCACCATAGCCGTGCATTCATGTTCGTTCGATTGAGAGCACTATTCAGGTTATCGGTATTGATCGAGACCAAGACTTAAATTTTGCAAAAGAATAGCCACATTCATCACACAAAAGGTGGCAAAAGATTTCGGATGGATCAAAATCATTTTTCAGTTAAAAATAAAAAGAGCTACAAGTTCAAACATCCACATAATGCAGTAATCTTACAACATAAGCGCACAACCCGAATATAAACAAAATACGAACATGGGTAGCACACAAAGGTGGGCCTCACCCCACCACAATTAAAAGCATTTGTCCTCAGATGCAAATGACAAAATATCCAAAATGACAATTAAAGAAAGATAGAGAGGGAGGTAAATAAGGGATCCTGTCTAAGGAGTTGCTCAATCTATATTGGCATCAGTGCCCGGAGTGTTGTCATTCTACTTCTGGTTCTCTTTTTCTTTTCGCTCTGCTTCAGCTTCTGCAGCGATATTAGCCTCGATCATATTGTCTAACTTGTGAGCTACCACAAAGGCGTGTATCACATTCCTGAACCCTCGAGCCCATGAAGGGACATTAGGATTGATGGGCATTCTCTTCCTCAAACTGGCTGTCTTATTCTCACTCCTTGCAGTTCTTCTGAACTTTTGTGCTCTTATGTGTCTGGGTGTTATGTTTCTTCCTGCAACTTTTGGTCTGGACATGTCTTCAAAGATTTGAGATAATGTTAGAACATATTTGTCAACCAAAACAAAGACATTCAGCTGCAGAAAGACTAGATAGACCATTCGGCGTGCCGCCAAATACCTTCAGCGAGCCACAAAAAATCCACCGAAGGTCACAGTGCAGAAGGAGTTAGGCGTGCAGACAAAGGGCGAACAAAAAAACTTTCTGTAACAACCTGTATTTTACGTGTACAAGTCCTACACATATGGAACTTGATTTAGCTTGGTGGTATAAGTAATGAACTTGATTTCTTAGATGAATGGTGACAATAAAGAAGATATAAGGGTAACTCCCGTACATTGCAATATTGCACGATCTAGTGAACGTCAAATTTCAGAAGTATTTAAATTCTGGATCGAAAGGTATATATGTAGATCTAAAAGTTAAGGTGATCAAGTGTATATAAGTTTTGAGTTAAACTAAAGAGATTACGCTCAGAAAATGAATAAAAGAATTGAGGTGCTTGTTGGACATATAGCTAGCAGGTGTCACTTACTTGCTTAGCTCAAATGGGCTAGGTAGATGGGGAAGATTAGTTCATGCATTAGTGGGCTCACTTGAGGCCCAAATTAAATAAAAAGGAAAAGGGAATGGA